CACACCAAGCCACAAGACGGTCCACTTGCTCCCGATAGCTGGTCTCATTGGTGTTGGGGGTGAATCCCACCCCAGTTGTGTGCAAATGTGAGGGGACGCAACGGAATCCTGGCATAGGTTCCTGGGGAGTCCAGATGGTGAAGCATGTGATGGAGGCATAAGTTGACTGCATCCTCCACTGATCAATTACTTCTGAGGCAAATTGTAGAGGGTCAAGGAGGCGGTCAGTGAGATCCTTGAGGTCTGCTAGCATCAGACGATTAAAGGTTGATGGGTGGGCAAAGTTCGGGGGGGTTCCCCTCCTTCTGCCATCACACACAGCTGACTGACTGTTGGCGCCGACCGGAGGGGCAGGGGTTACTCTACGCTGCACACCAGCAGAGGGATTCCTGCACTCTCTGTCTTTGACAGTCATAACATCAGCTCATAATGCAGGGACGGTATGATGGAAAATTTTAGTGACTGTGACACCATGACTTTTCCAAATTGCGGTACCTTCAAACTGGAAAGCGGCCCATGTTCGGCCCACGGCGTGTGTTAGTGTGTAAGTGAACCGTCCCAGCTGGGTGTTCCTGTGCCTTGTGCCCTAAACTGCCTGGGAGAGGCTCTGAGCCCCCAGTGACCAGGATAAGCGGCAGGAAGGTGGGTGGATGCATGTAAAAGTGAAATAGGTTACATTTTAAAGGCCTTCACTGTTAGATTTCAGTATCAGTGACTCTGTGTCACATTAGAAATGTTATATGTTTATTTGATTATCACTGAGAGTCTCTGTTATTGTAGAAACACTATCAATTTGATATGTATTTTTTTTTCTTCACGTATTGTTCTTCCATTAAAACTGATTCTAACACAATGGCAATTGTCCTGCAAACCATGTAAATAAACTGCATTATAATTACATATTGAAAGTCACATTACTGTGTAATCTGTATGTTTCTTTTTTTCATGGATTCTGTCACCATAGAAATAAACAAAAAGCAAAATACACATTATGAAGGGTCAGAGGCAGTGGGGGTGGGGTAGGGTGGGTGGGGTGGGGTGGTGGGGGGGCAGGCTCTGTGGCCAAGAGGAAGCACACTTCCTCCTCACTGCCTGACATTTCAGTTTAGACTGGGGGGGGGGGTCTTGTTTTGCCTACTTGCATGTAGTGATGATGAGATGAAGCCTCATTTAACACTGACGCTTTCCAGCTAACTGTGTTAAAAATAGGTTTGAAGGTTCAAATTTGACTTAATGACATACTTAGGGAACAGATCTCATTAATAGCACTGTAGATCGTCATTTGCTATGTCCATGACATCAATCTACCCCAGTAGCTTGAAACATTCAGCCCACACTGGCCAAACATCAAGCAGTTCTGCTGCCTGGAAGCCCAGAAAGAGAGAGATCATCAAGCACGCCATCACGCTCACTGCATACCTGAATCGCCATCACGCNACTCGCCATCACGCTCACTGCATACCTGACTCGCACCCAGGCCAGAATGTATGGATCACCACTGTGAACCAGCACTCGAGGGCAATGCTGTGCATAGAAGTGCTAAATGAGCGCAATTCACTGAACATGCTCATATTTTTGGTGAACGGTGAACTAAATAAATCAGATTGCAACTCATGAATGTGAACATGAACATCGTTCATTCTGTCGAGAGTGAACAATGCTCAGACACCAGAAGTAGCACTAATAGGCAGAAAAAGTTCATATTGTGATTTGAAACACGATGCATTACGATGTGAGTCACACCTCGGGAAATGATCCTGATTTTCTTGCACATTTTTTGTCTTGACCAGTGTTGATGTGCTGTAATGCACTGGTCATGACACTAATGATTTGTTTATATCAACACACTCCAAGAGCTTTCCAACAGTAGGTGATGCTACTGATATTTTAATTGCATATATCATTACAGCAGGTGATGATATAGGTGAACCAGAGAGTGATTATAAGGGTCTCTAACTGCTAGTTATGAATCCACCCTTTTTATATAGTCACATTTACCTTTCGTTTACTTAGCAAATGCTTTTTTCCAAAGGGACATACATTTGATCAAGGGTCAAAACAAACCACACTGTTTACCCTGGGCCTTGAAACAACAACCTTCAAATCACAGACCCAACATCTCAACCCACTGAGCCACATTCTCCACAGGGCTCAGGTACCCTTGGATTGTTACTAAATCACATAGAGACTAAAACTGCAAATACATGTAAACGTATAGTTACCTTTTAACATTGTGAAAATATTTGAAATGTGATTTTAAGATCATACATATCAATAATGTAGAATGGCCTCTCAGAATGAACCCTGACCCACTAAATATGAGTGGAAGCAGAAATAGGAAGCAGTCCTTACTGGTTGTGGTGAGCAGGAGCAGGCATGAGAGAGGGAGGATGAACTGGCAGATCTCCATCCTCATCAGGACCAACCTGCTCTCCTGAAGCTGAAACTCCAGCCTTCACTTCTGAGCTCTCAGTGTGAGCGAGTGCCTTTATACCGTCCTGCCCCCCAGAGAGAACACGCCCCCACCCACCACTCACACTCAGAGCTGCCTATTTAGAAGAAATAACACAGAGATAGCTTATTAATCCCCATGGGGAAACGGTCTCCTTGCTTTACGCCATTGTGGTCTGTAGGAGACAGACAGGCATGGGAAAGCAAGCTCAGTGGTCACTGTGAGGGAGCAGCCACCTTGCAGCACCCTGGGAGCTGGGGGTTATAGGTCTTTGTCAAGGACCTACGGCCATATGACTGTTCTGCTGAGGCTGGACAACCTTCTTATTACAGGCACAGAGGCTTAGCCTGCTGAGCCACACAGCATAACCGTCAGAGGGGCACAGAGACAGATCAGAGGAATCTATGCTTCTTTTTCTCCATATATGCATACAGGAGCAGTGATGTCTATCAGGATTCCTTCTCTTAGCAGTGATCCCCGACGTTAAGTCAGGTTAACATTGGGCCGTGTTTAATTCTGTGGTAAAGGACAGAAATCAGACTTTGTTCTAACGTCCAGACCAAGCTGAATGGTCATCAGTATGGAGTGGACAAATCTATATTGACTCTTGTCACAAATCTCCAGATGAGCCCACTGGCAAATGGAAACCACCAGGCTCGGTCCTCAGTGTTCCTTTACGTTAACAGAGTCTCACTGGGGATGGAAAGGATCCCAGCCTATCGGACACAGAACTCGTACAGCTGCAAACAGTACATTGAGATTCTGTGACTGGTGTCCAACTTGAGGAAAATCCATTCTAAGAAACTCAAAGATGAATACAGGGCTAGACTTTGAAGATCAAGTGCACAGCGCAGCTAACATTTATGGGCATGACCGAATTCATTTTGCTATTTTGACGCCGGAAACAACAGACTTTGCACAAGTGCAAGGCAAGGTTGTCCTAACTCTCTTAATATTCAGAGGCATGTTTTGGGTGTAATTAGCAATAAATAAATCGGAATGGCGCATCACTTCACCTTCACAAGGCAGCAGCTTATGATTTACAGTGGATTGCTATTACAATGTGTCACAAGGCGGGTGAGCACGGCGAAAATGGAAGCACAGTAGTCCAGGAATCAGGGGTAAATGTGGGGCTTTTTAAAGGGATAACACACTCGGGAGCACAGGCCAACATTAGCGGGGTGGAGACATTAATGACAAGACTAGGGAAACATACTCGAACAAGGACTTAAATGCACAGGACTAATGAAACAAGAAACAGCTGGTAAACACAGGGATTCCACATGAGGTAAATGAGGGGGCATGGCACACGGGAGGAGCAGCACAATCAGGGTGTGACACAATGGCACGTTTGCCCAGCTAACAAAATCGCTTTTTGCCTGAGGAAACGGATGTGCTCGTGTGCGAGGTGAAAAGGTGCAAGCACATCATCTACAGGAGCTCCACTGTTCCACCTTAAGCCTTTCAGGGTGAAGCAGGAGTGGGATGAGGTAGCAGCAAGTGTGCCGAAAGTGGTATAATGATGTCAGAAGACAGAGAAAACAGAAGCTCACTGCTGACTTAATTATGCTTGTGTGTTTTTTAATTTTAATTTTGGGTCTACATTTCATAAAATATAAACAGAAATGAAATCTTTGTTCAAACAAAACACAACATACAGCTTTTAAGGTGTTTTAAAATGTTCAAATACACGGGCTGTTTTGTAATGTTCCACCTACCTTATAAATATCTGAATGTCCTTTCAATTACAGCACCTGCTTAATTCTAGTAATGAACTCAAATGATTTTTTAATGATAAGGTTTATTCTTCACTATATGCAGTATATACATATATATACACTATACAGTATTGCCAAAAGTATTGGGACACCCCTCCAAATCATTGAATTCAGGTGTCACTTCCATAGCCACAGGTGTATAAAATCAGCCACCTAGGCATGCAGACTGCTTCTACAAACATTTGCGAAAGAATGGGTCACGACCAGGAGCTCAGTGAATTCAAGTGTGGTACCGTGATAGGATGTCCTCTGTGTAATAAGTCCATTTGTGAAATTTCCTCACTACTAAATATTCCACGGTTAATTATTAGTGGTATTATAACAAAGTGGAAGCAATTGGGAACAACAGCAACTCAGCCATGAAGTGTTAGGCCACGTAAAATCACAGAGCGGGGTCAACGCTTGCTGAGGTGCACAGTGTGCAGAAGTCGCCAGCTGTCTGCAGAGTCAATAGCTACAGACCTCCAAACTTCGTGTAGTCTTCAGGTTAGCTTAAGAACAATGAATAGAGAACTTCATGGAATGGGTTTCAATGGCCGAGCAGCTGCATCCAAGCCTTACATCACCAAGTGCAATGCAAAGCGTTCGATGCAGTGGTGTAACACACGCAACCACTGGACTCTAGAGCAGCGGAAACGTGTTCTCAGGAGTGACGAATTACTCTTCTCTGTCTGGCAATCCGATGGACGAGTCTGGGTTTGGCGGTTGCCAGGAGAACGGTACTTGCCTGACTGCATTGTGCCAAGTGTAAAGTTTGGTGGAGGGGGGATTATGGTGTGGGCTTGTTTTTCAGGGGTTGGGCTTGGCCCCTTAGTACAAGTTAAAGGAACAATTAATGCTGCAGCATTCTAAGCCATTTTGGACAATTTCATGCTCCTTACTTTGGGGACGGCCCCTTCCTGTTCCTGACTGCGCACTAGTGCACAAAGCAAGGTCCATAAGGACATGCATGAGTGAGTCTGGTGTGGAGGAACTTCACTGGCCTGCACAGAGCCCTGACCTCAACCCGACAGAACACCTTTGGGATGAATTAGAGTGGAGACTGTGAACCAGGCCTTCTCGTCCAACATCAGTGCCTGACCTCGCAAATGCTGGTCAAAAATTCCCATAAACACACCCCTAAACCTTGTGGACAGCCTTCCCAGAATATCAGCTGACTGCTTCTTCCCTAAATAGTTCTTGCATAGTTTGGAGCTGTGCTTGGGTCATTGTTCTGTTGTAGGATGAAATTGCCTCAAATTAAGCGCTATTCACAGGGTATGGTATGGCGTTGCAAAATGCAGTGATAGCCTTTCTACTTCAAGGTCCCTTTTACCCCTTACAAATCTTCCACTTTACCATCACCAAAGCAGCCCCAGACCATCTCATTGCCTCCACCATGTTTGACGGATGTTGTCAAGCACTTCTCCGGCGTCTTTTCATTTGTTCTGCATCTCACAAACGTTCTTCTTTGTGATCCGAACACCTCAAACGTAGATTTGTCTATCCATAGCACTTTTTCCAATCTTCCTCTGTCCAATGCCTGTGTTCATTTGCCCATCTCAGTCTTTTCATTTTGTTGGGCATTCTGAAATATGGCTTTTCCTTTGCAATTCTCCCTAGAAGGCCAGCATCCCAGAGTTGCCTCTTCCCTGCTGACGTTGAGACTGTTATTTTGCAGGATCTATCTAATAAGGCTGCCAGTTGAAGATCTATGAGGCGTCTGTTTCTCAAACTACACACTCTAAGATAAATATCTTCTTGCTCAGTTGTGCACCAGGGTTTTCCGTTCCTCTTCCTATTGTGGTTAGAGCCAGTTTGTGCTGCTCTGTGAAGGAAGTAGTACAAAGTATTGTACGAAATCTTCAGTTTCCTGGCAATTTCTCACGTGGAGTAACGTTCATTTTTCAGAACAAGAATAGACTGACGAGTATCAGAAGAAAGTTCTTTGTTTCTGACCATTTTGAGCTTGTAATCGAACCCATGATTGCTGATGCTCCAGATACTCAACTAGTCCAAAGGAGGCCAGTTTTATTGCTTCTTTAATCAGCACAACAATTTTCATCTTTGCTGGCATAATTGCAAAAGGCTTTTCTAATGATCAGTTAACCTTTTAAAATGATAAACTTGCATTAGCAAACACAACATTCCACTGGGATACAGGACTAATTGATGCTGATAATGAGCCTCTATACACCTATGTAGATGTTACATTGATAAACAGCCATTTCCAGCTATGATAGCCATTTACAACATTAACAATGTCTACACAGTATTTCTGATCAATCTGATGTTATTTTAATGGGCAAAAACTTGCTTTTTTTCAAAACAATAACAATAATGAAATAAGTGGCATTTAGCACACATCTCAGCTTTTTCACTCTATATACAAAATGTATATATGTATATATAAAATGAAGATTTATTTGCCATTTGTACAATGGCAAATAAAGTGAGTTAAAGTGAAGCTTGGGGTCACTTTAAGCACAGTCTCAGAAGAGAGCTGGTTACCCTGTCATGCACTGGATTCAAACAGCAACCTTATGATTATAGGCCAAACCTGCTGATCCACCAACTGCTCCCCTACATACAGCATTTAAATAATCAGTGCAAATTTAGAATGACCAGAACCATTTCCTCTTTGATTAACTCATCTGCGACTGAATTAAAAATGTCACATTTGGTGATCAGTGGTTAGTGCTGTGTCTCACACTTCTGCAGATCCCATGCTGCCGCTGTGCTTCTGGACATTACAGGTCCTCCTCATGTTCATGTGGGTTTCCTCTGCGTGAGAAGAGTTTTCTCTTCATCAGCTCAAGATGCTGTCCTACCTTTGTCAGGCCACCTGTACATTTGAAGAATTTAAATTGACAACAAAATAACATTTCATCATTTCTCCCTGGCCAGTGCTATGGATTTTTCTTTTGTTACAAGATATGCACTTTGTACTGAAATGCACTTGATCAAGATGGCAGGCATCTCTGAGCACTACCATCTGTGCAAGCAAGATGTTTAACGGTCTACATAACCATGCTTCAGAGGAGACTCATGTTAAAAATCATCAGACAGACTTCCGGTTTGGTCATGGAGGAGTGAGGTGTGTGAAAGAGGGGCTCCTGACCAACTTTTCAAACATTCCACTTGATACATTTATCCGAACGAACAAAAAGCTGTCATGGTAGCAGTACTCTTGATTAGGAGGTTTCAAGGCAGGAAATGAGTTGTTCAAAGCAAAAA